AGACTTTTTTGCTTTGACAGGGAAGCAACATCACCAGACACAATACCCTGGCTAGTTTTTCTACCTAGAAGTAAATCATTTCTTACTTAAAGATTATTGCCCTGACACAGCATACATGATTTTAATAGCAGGTGCAAATATAGGAATGAATCTGTAGGTGTCTGTTGTACCAGACCTTGCTCTGCTTCAAGACTGTGTTTTGAAAGTTGCATTTTCCAAAGAAGACCAAATGAAAGACAAATGGTAAAACTGTGCAATTTCATCTACAATGGACCTGGATATACGTGCCTGCTTGTAGTGAACCTTGTGACAGATGAAATAGCAGCCTTCTCTTTTTTCACCCCACTGAGCACTTAATTCTCCTCCTCATACTGCAGACATGCTCAGTATGACATTTCCAACCTCTACTTGCAGTTCTGGATGTGTTTTGGCTATAGGTTGTAGGCAATACTCCTAAGGTGCTGCCTGCTTTATCATTGGCCATTATTGATGAATACTAATTAGCACTTTTGTGTGAAACAGGATGGAGAATGACTGTGGGGTCCTTTGGATCATGTAGACAAAGCAAGAGGCGATTGGTTTTCAACAGTGAAACAATATCATGTTGAATACAGGAGCACTAGGCAACACCTGTGTCACCAACTATCCTGCAGCACTTCAGTGCCCCTGCTTAGTACCTTCTAGCTTTTCTGGGCCATAATGAATGAAGAGAAATTCTCCTGGCCCCATATACATAGATGAATCCAGAAGTAATGCCTCCTATTTATTCTCATGGAAACTACAACAGATACAAAGGGCAGAATAACACTATTTGATGGAGCAAATTCTCAGTTACAGAACGCACTTATTAGTCACCACCATGCATTTTTGCCAGCAATGAACAAGATCCTGCATGCTGCACTCGTAAAAATCTGCAGCAGTGAAGGTGACCCACTGTCACTGTTGCCACTGCTGAACCACACCATACACAGCATCACTGTGCTCGCAGCCACTGCTTGGTCTCTATCAACATTCAGCAAGCATTGATGAATATCAATAGGTGTAATTTTTTTTTTTTTCTATATGGAAGACACATTTTTTTCCACATGACACACCTTTGCTTCATATGCACTTCCATGTCAGACGCCATTCTGTCAGACAGCCCCTCTGCTGCCATCCATCACACGGCAAAAACCTCTTCTTAAATTCCTTTATCAAAACAGAAACATGGCTGTATTCAGACAGTGTATCAGAATGCATACAATTATTTGCCATCACTTGAGTCAGCACTGCATCTTGCCCTCCCAGTGCCCTGGTCTCAGCGCACACAGTGCCAATCGCACACTGATGTTCAGTTGGTGCTGGCATTGGTTGCACACATTGGTTGCAGGGTTGGGCCGGGCTGCTCGGCAGGGCACTGCTGCTGCCGTGATGGTGTGGGGCAGAGGGTGGCTGCAGGGCCGGCTGGCCGGGCCACAGGTGGCTGAATTAATACATGCCCCGGGTTTGTGGGCTCACTTAGCACAGGAGATACAGGCAAACTTCTATAAAACTGAAGCTCCTTCTGAATCATTCTGAATATTTTGTTCTGATGAATGTAGTACCCCACATGGCTCTACTCCAAAACTTGTCTAGCATGACAAGAAGCTGCTGAGTTATAAACACTCAGCTGTCTTTTGGTTGATGTGAGCAGCCCTGAGGCAAGATGTCTGCTCTGTGGTGCAGGCAGTGTGACTGCACACTGAGTTCAAAGAGAAGGCATGGAGCTGTGCTGGCTATGGCCTTCATCTCAAGACAGCTGTAATAATAATATATGTGCCTATGTTGGTGAGACATGAAAGTATGTAGAGCTGTACCACAGGATAGTCTTGCAAAATGTAGTCTGAATGTGGCTACTGTGGACCAAAGAAGGCTGGGACTTCTCCAGTCTGGATGTGACAGGGGCCTACCAGCCTAGGCACTGACACGTTCATCTCAACAAAGTCTGTACGTGTGTAGCCAGGTTGAAACTTATGTAGATTTCTGCACTTAAACTTCCACAAAGAAGGCACAATATCTGACCACTTGGGTATATCTAGTGATATGCCTATCCTAACTTTTGTTTCCAGATAATACTCCTTGTACATACTTGAGCAATGGTGGTATCTCTTGAGATACCAGGATACGAATTATATGAGAATGGAAATATAAACTGCGCTGGATGAGACACAATTTTAAAAGAGTTTACTGTCAAATAAAGTATAAAACAACAATGTTATTAACAACTCACTGAACCTAGTAGCAGCTGTTATGGACACTTTCAGGACTGAAAGAGCATGCTGTTAGAGCAGTGCTACTGACCAGTGTGTTCGTCTACTGACAGAAATGTGCTAAGAAACATCAGAGAAGAGTGAGAGAGGAGAAAATGTAACAATAGTGAACAACACCAGTACTTCTATGGAAATGGAGGAGTATTACCCTCCAGGGCTTGATCCAGAAACTTAATCAGTATAAACACCATAAATGACTTAATCACTTTAAATGACTGTTGATTAGAGCAAGTAATCATAGACCCCATAGGAAGAAAAGAACTCTTGGTGCATTTCCAAGCAGCCACTTAAAAAGCTGCTCTTCAATAGTGGCACAAGTTCAATATCCAAAAAATTTGCAATGCTAAAGTATGAATAAAAGGTAACTATATAAAATGAACAAGCATTCAAAAGGAACTTAAAAGGAGCAGCTGAAAGGGTGGAACTATCTAAAATGAACAAGTATCCAAAAGGAAATTAAAAGGAGCAACTTTAAGGGTAGAAGCTTTCCAGGCTGATAGATCTTGTTTTAAAGTAATATAGTGAAAGCTCAGAAGATAACATATTTAAAATACCTCCCAAAACTCCTCCAGTGAGACGTCATTTAGCAGATTTTAATGAATGAGTAGTTTTAAGAAAGGTAAAATACCATCCTTTTTTAATCAAAGATGAGAAGGGAGACACATAAGGAGTCTACAGAGCTGTCGAGAAATGGAGATGAGAAAGGACACCTTATGCTTAAGGCATCTAATGGCACAATAAAACATGAAGTACTTGCTTGCAGTAGAGCTCATTACAAGGAAACATACTAAAGAGTAAGCTGGTGGAAATGTCCCAGAATCAGTGTCCTACGGGGTCCCATAAATTGCAATTGAAGCTGAAGTTGCAAAACGACTAACAGTGGTGTATGCTGAACTGGCTTTTCTGCAGTAAATATACTGGTAAATGTGATACACCAAGGGAGAGGCACAATGCCTTTTTGTTGGAGGCAAATCATACCACTAATGATTCAGCCAGCATCACTGTGCTATTGTATTAATGGTCTTTGGGCTGATCACTCCTGACCAGTCCTGAGCAGGACCTCCAGCTTACAAAAGGTTATAGTGAAAATAAAGAGGTATATTCTTAACCTTAAAATTAATATTAATAGTAAGGCAATTCTCAATGCAAGAACAATAAAGGAACCCTACTGACCTATTTAGAAACAGTTTTAACTCAAAACAAAGCAAGTAAACATAGTTTAATAGTGTAACTCATTGCCACAGGATGTTTTGAAAACTAGAAGGATAAATAGATGCCATTTGTACAAATGTTATTACAGATGTTATTGTACAAATTCATGTAAGAAAGGTCCAGAAATAGCTATTAAAAATAGTGACATAGACATGGCTTTCAGTTCAGGAAATTCATAAGCTATGGATCACTGGAACTTGGAAATATTTATGCTAAAAATATTCACAAAAGTAGCATATTATATTTAATTACTTTCTTATTTTGTCCAAGTATGACTTGCTTGTCATGGGAGAGTAGACTGGCTGGATCTTTGACGAAGTGCATTTTTACATTTACAAGTGATGACATTTACTTGTTATTTTTTAGCCAAAATAATTTAATGACAATTTGTGCAGTAATGTGACTGTTACCACTTTTCATCTTAAAAAAATAATAAATAAAATAAATGGAAAATTGACAAACTGGACTCTTGAGACAGTATGTAAAGTACTGAAATATAAACACAGTAGATACATTGGCAGAGTAGACGTAATCTCTAACCAAAAGAATTATTGGTAAAGCTTCATCCTATCAGATGGAGTTAATTGTGCATCTCCTACATAACAAAAATAACAATAATAAAATAATAATTAATGTAAAAGTTTTAATTAAAGTGTCGAAGGTGTGGGTTCTAGCACTGTCCTGCTGGAAGAAATCTCTAAGTTGTTAGCAAACCCTCTGTGAAGTAATACTTCTCTATTCCACCTACAGGCATAACAGACCACGTATCCTCCGTATGAACCAGAAAGTGTGTTTTATGGAACACACATTCCCTGTGGTTGATACTTTGTAGGATAGCACCAAGAAATGCATTCCTAAGCCATGCATTATTGAGGTGTAGCTCTCTCATACACAGCTTTCAGAGCTGTGATGTTCAGCTTCTTCAGCAAAGCCTATTCCCCAAATGTGATGAAAATTCAAGAACTGAAGGTAGGCTACAGGACAAGAGGCTCCTGTTGATGCAATTATATAATATGCAAAATAAATCCAAGATGCAGATTCCTAGGATAAAAGAAGCTGTTTTTCTTCCTGATGAGAAGCACGAAATCAGTCTTCCAAGACTACTTATCCCAACACAACTGTTCTTTTTCTTTAAAGATACATCTTTATTTTGGTGCATTAGACGACTAAGAGAAGAAGTAGACAAAATAATGCATTTTGATTTCAGTGAAGCTGCCTGCTAGAAAGAAAATTCCAATAAATATACAGAATTACAGAAAAGAAATGCACTAAACTTCATTCAAATCAAACATGGTGAAATCCAGAAGAAAAAGGCTTTTACTGCAACTGTCAGAAATTCAAGTTTCTCATTTTTCACTAAGGCACACAATAAATGAACTGAGCATGCTTTACATTTCCCACAACTAGCAATTTTCTGTCTTTGGAAACTTTTAGTGGGAGGAGTTGAAAGGTGCTGTGGGAGGGACTAAAATTCATGCTGAAGTTTTGGCTTGAGAGAGAGAATTGTCAGAGTAGAAGATTTCTTCTGAGGTTTTTCTTTTTCCCTTCTTCTTCTTTTTTTTTTTTTTTGTATTGTTTTGTTTTGTTTTCAGTTTAGGATGATAAGTATTCATATTCTGATTCTTCTTATAATTCTATTTTGGAATTATGATTGTCATATTATTCCCAGGATTGAAGAATGTGGACTTTCATGTTCTCAGGTAACCTCTTACTTGTTCTTTGCTCTCTTAATATAATTGTTGCATGCTGATATAATAATTGTAAACAAAGCAATAAAGGAAAAATAAAAAAAATATTTCAACTGTCCTGACCATTCACTTTATATTCCTGTCATTCTGCATTAAGTATCTGAAGTGGCATTGATGACTGTTATGAGAAAGTAAGAAATTGCTCTCTTTCCAGCTCTTGTTGTTGTTATTACCTTTAAAAAATTGACTTTTGTGTTTGGAAGGCATTAATAAAACAGATTTGATTTATATTAATTACTTTGGAAATTCGATTTTTACAACAGCAGTAGTGTCAAAGAGGTGACAGGAGGAGGAATGGGAAGTTGCAGAAATTGCTAATTATGTTAGGAATATAGGAAACACGGATTTTCCCGTGAATAAATGGATTAAACTTAAGAAACAGTAAAAACCTGTTTTTCATTTTGTGGAATGAATATGACTGGACTATTGCATTTAATGAATTGTGTATGTGTGCAAAATTGGAGTGTGGATTATACCATCACTTCAAAAGCTTTGAATTCTGAATGCTTCCAAATATCTCCACAAAGGGGCAGTATAGGGACATTCTGCTTCAGTTGGCTGTCTGAAAGTTCAAGATTACAGTATATGGAAAGACATACTAGAAAATAAAATAATAGGGTATAAATAACAGGCTATCTGATATTTTCAGTCTAAATAGGCCAGGATAACTACGAAGTTGCTACAGAGAAGCAGAATTAATAGCATAAAAGAATTTGACTGAACGTGGACTTCTGCTTGAAAATATCACAGTACTCTGCAGTGCTTGGGACATACTAAGCATTGTCTAAACGTGATAGTACTAGCTAGATATTGCCAGTATGTTACAGCAACTAACTCTGTATTTTATATGTAATGCTAGGATGTGTATGAAGGTGCTAGGATGAGTGAAGATGCTTATAAAACACTAGAGTCGACAGAAAATAAACTATCTATTTCAAATATTGCTTTATATTCCTGAATTTAAATTTTGTGCAGTCTCACCACACTTAGATATTATTTTTTAAATAAAATGTAGAGATTCATTTAGATGTAGAGATTCATTTCTGGATGTACCTGAGCACTTTCCAGCAAACTATAATTTCCAGCAAGTTATGTACTTTTGAATGTAAAAGTGCATGCATTTAAAAAAATTTATTTTCTGTGGTCTGCAACAATGATTATTTTAAAGAGATCCCATCTAACTTTCTAATTTATTTCTCCAGAGAGTGGTTTGCTCTAAGTCTCAGAATGTGAGAAATAATAACTTTTACTCCGGGGCCCTTGGAAGACTTCCTTCTCTGTTGTATCTTAGGTATCTATTTTAGGAGGGCTGATTCACTAGCTGCCTAAGATGCTGACATAAAGAAAGGATCCCTTTCTTTGCCTTCCAGTTATTGTCTTGCAACTTTTCCAGTGCTGAAGGTTGGATAAACGAGAAAGGTCTTTTTTTTTTTTTTTTTTTTTTTTTTTTTCCCAATTTACAAGAAAAACACATTCCAGTGTAACAGAATCAAGTATAAACACCATTTGTGATGTTAAAAGATAGAATTTAGTTCATGTCCTGTATGTTATATTTCTGCTAGTTGTATTCAGTAGAATCTTGAATGCATTAATGACTTTTTAAGACAAAAATGTTTTCTTACTGGAAACAATAATGATCTCAACAGGACAAATTACTGCCAGCTTAGCATTTGCAATCCATCCAGTGCAAAGCATTTTGAGCATTTTGAACTCAAGAGTCTCGTGACTGGGTTGGTACAGAAAACTCCCTCTTCCATTGAAACTAACATCAGTTTTTCTACATAAACCATTACAATTCCATGGCTTCAGTCTTATTCCTACCTGAATGACTGTAAAAAGCTGCGGTTTATCTTCTCTGTAATTCACAACTCAATGGTCTTTGTCACAGCACCAGCCAGGAGTTACAGTTCATCTTTCAATGGATGCCCTGAACACGCCTGTTGTCTTCTGCTGTAGCACACAGGTCCTAAGGTAGAGAATTAATTGTAGTTAATGGAATTAACTTCACTAGCAATTTACTTAATGAGATAATAAGAAATTGTAATTTTAAAGGTATAAGATGCTTTCTGTTGCAGTTATAAATGTCTATTATAGACTTTTTTGTCCTTTACAAAATCTTCCCATAAGTCTGCATAGTGATTTTCTCTTCTGCAGAGTCAGCCTTGTGGTTGTACAGTTCCTCGTAAAGCAATAGGGAAACAGAAAGCTTTTTCATTTTTTTCTGCATTTTTCAAGCTGTGGGTTTTGTCAGAGGGGTTTTGGGCAAGTTCACGTGCTAAAAGCGTTGAGTTTGACCAGCAGACTAGACTTCAGAGTGACAGTGTCTCAGAGTGACAGTATTTATAAGCAGTTTTGACCTCCTTGGATACTCGTTAGCAAAGTAAGGCATCAGTTACACTTAGGAGGAAAATAGCAACTTAACTGCTTTGAGGTATGTTACCTAATGGAACCTTTACACTCAACTGTTTTGATTTTGAATCCTACTGCAACTTAATGAATCATTCTTAGCTTACTAGGAGCATTCAGCAAGGCATTTTTGCACTGCCTTAAACAATATCCAGGTACTATTACTATAGCACAAATTACTTTATCCAGTATAGGAAAGAGAAAACAAAAGATCACTTCATATTTATGCAAGTATTATGCAAGCATGAAAATATACAGTTGTGGTTGAATGATGGCAAAGGAACATACAAGTTTTTATTATGTATTGTGATTTTTTTTCTTCTTCCTTATTTTAATGACTTGTCTTTAAAGCTTGCATTATATTCTGGTATTCAAAAGTTAACTACTCTGAGCTTGGTCTTCAGACCTCACCCAAAAGCAAATACATCTATCAACCAGGATTCCCTATAAAAGCACAGGGGAATCCCAGCCTGCAATTGATACTGTGTTTGTGCTCTACTTGCTTTACAATCCACATTGTTTGCAGGCTGTACACAAAGGAACAAGCTTATGCCAAATTTGACTCAACAGCTGGTAAAGATCATGAGCACTACATTTAAAAAAAAAACTTTCCAGAAAACTATGAAATAGTATGTGTATTGTCTGCCTTTAAATGTAGCAGCATTTCCAAAGTTCACAGATAAAGAAGAAATGAATGAAGAAACTGAATGTGGGATTTTCCTGCAACTATAAAGGTTATTGGCAATAAATTTTTGATATAGCTGTTGCCCGTTCATGCTACTCATTGTTAAAATATGTAGTGTTTCTTGTCTGGATATTTATATCATGGATCAGACTGTTCTGATTGAATACTACATACTGCAAAACCAATGATATAACACAGCTTTCAGGCTACTAGCTCAGCTGACATAAGTTGACATTCATTGTTTTTTGTCAAGGTAAGCAATTTCTATTTTAAAAGTAATCTTAAAACACTCACCATAATACACGAGTATCTAGTGTCTGGTTTTCTTGGACTGAGATATATCAGCATGAAGACACAAGAATGGAAGAATCACCACAGGTGTTTTTGTGTGCGAAGGTATACCCACTGACTGGAGGACACATGTAAAAAATATGAAACATATCCTCTGCTAAAATCTGCTGTTGTGCAGTGCAACCCATGAGAGCACGCCGTTAATAGAAAGCCTGGGTTTTACATCCCTTCCTGTCATTGACTTACTTGCATGGGCCTAGTCAAGTAATTTACCTCTACAGTTTTCACAAGTACAAAATAGTGCTGACTTTTCTGTATGATGTGTCTTAATTAGATTTTTTAAATTTGCTGCCTTGAATACTATAATTAAATATTAAGTTTTCATTAGTCAAATTAGTCATACTTAAGCAGCTCTCAAATCACTGTATTAGAGTGATATTAACCCATTTTCTTGCCTGCTCTGCTCACAGTCAGGAGAGCTGCTGTTTAGCAAATTTATGTGATGTGTGGGCTGTGTTTTGCAGGATCAAAGATATGATGACAGGGATCTATTGGCTTTCATGTTTCTTGCTGTTTCCTGTTATCACCCTATTTCCTCACCTCTAGAAAAGAAGAGAGTCAGATACACATACAAACAGGGACTTAAACTCTCAAATGTTCCTCGCAGTTAGAGGATCTATTACCACTTCTTTCAGGAGAGGTGAAGAAAGGTCTGCAGTTCAAAACTTGCAAAAAAATGTAGCAGTAGCTCTTATTTTTTTTCTTTCTCACTTCTCCTTCCTCAAGAACTCTGGGAAAAGGTTACAAGGTCTTGAAGGAGATGAGCTACTGGAGTAGCAAAAGCAAAGGCACTACAGACAGTCATGAAAGTCTGGGGCACAACTAGTTGATTTTGAAACAGGACCTGACAAGATGTCCTGAACTTCAAATACAAGGCACTGCTACTTATAATTCAGTCTGAATTGTGACTTCTAATCATAAAATCATGGATGGTTGAAGTTGGAAGGGACTTCTAGAGGTCATCTTGTCCAACCCCTCTGACACTGAAAGGAGAAAGCCAGGACTGTGTCTGTCTGAGTTTTGAATATCTCCAAGGAAGCAGATAATTTAGGCAGGACAAATTTTGCAGAAATAGGTAGTAACTTGTTCTAGACAAGGTGGTGTGACCTAGCTGGAATTCTTGCAGTGAAATCAAGAATTGGCTTAATTTCTAAATTTACTGGAGCTGGCAGTACTATACCTATTACTTTGTCATGTTGAGTTATACAGTTTTGTTCTACTACTCTTGACAAAATGCCTGTGCTTGTGAGAGAATCAGGAGTGATCTAAAATGAGAAGAACTATGAAGTTTTAAATAATTCCTTTCTTAAGATAGTCTTTGATAGTCTCCTGGCTTTTTGGTGTTTTCCCCAGCATTGAGGAGCTCCCAAATAGGTAGGTAACTTGGACCAAGGGAAGGAGGTAAAATGTTTTCTATTACTGATTGAAAATCATTTTGGGAGCCATGAATTCCCACATTCCTGTAAAAACCAGGAACCCACATTTGAAGTTGTATGTGTCATGTTGCCAT